GTCCTTGGTATCCATAATGAGGGCTGCCAAACAAATAAGTTATAGTGATGAGAGAGAGCTGAGATGAGAGAACCAAGATCAAGCCGACATGAACCCGAGATAAATTGTCGAGGAGAGAGATGAGAAGGGATCCAAGAGAGATTGCCGAGACGAGAACCGAGATCACTGAGGAGAGATTTCTTAGAAAAAGCCAAGATGGAATCAAGATTAGAGTCTGAATAAGAGTGTAAAAATAAATAAATAAATGAAAGAGGGATCAATCTCGGCTCTGATACCATGCTGAAAGAGAGATAATATATGAAAACGTATATCTTATTGACTAATACAATAATACAATGGTGTTTATATATGAGAAGCTATAGGAGTAGGAGAGTGGATAACAAGTAAACTCTATACATGGTAATGCTATAGATGGTAATGAGGGGTAGGTGGACGCGGCTACAGAATACAGAAAATAATAGTAAACTCTAGTCTAACTGTACACGTATGACAACTCATACAATACTGTACAACTCTTACATGTCTAACCCTTCCCAAAATCCTAAAGCCTGTCCAACCATGTCAGACTAGGTAAGAGAAACATAGAGCAAAGAAGAGACTATCAAAGAAGGAAGAAGAAGAAGAATGGGAGAAATCCGGATCAGTCCCATTTGATCTTCAACCACAAGATGGATTGATTGCAAGATGATACCTAGATCTCGACTTCCATATGAAGATTGGATCAAGTTGATGACCAAGGGACCTCAAGCACAAGAAGAGCAAGGAGTTGACAGAGAATATAGAACCACCTGCTCCTGATTTCTTCCATCCTAGAGCCTAGGCGAGTTTTTTATGTTGACAAAGGGGAAGAAAGATGGATTGACATGTTAGATTAAAATGTGAAGCTTCTGTATCTCTTTGCAGAGACAAAGCTCCCCTAGTCATTCAATCTCTATCAATCTCCAATATGATACCTTGTCAAAAAGCATTATAGCTAGGATCTAGGGAGTTGGGACTAGGATTCTAAAAAGAGAGTTTAATCACTCTTGGAAGGAGAAGATTGATCGCTAGGAATGTGTAGACGTTTAGGATTATCAAACTATTGTTGAATAACTTCTTTTACAAAATGCTGTATTGACTTGCTGCAATGTTCAGAGGAGAGGTATTTCTCTGGCATCTATTTGTTTACTCTGTCTCAATCATGAGGAGAATGTGGATCATCTGTTTGGTGGTTGTAGTTATGCTTGGCAAGTGTGGTGCTGTATTGCTGAGGTGTTCCAATGGAGTCTACAAAAACCAGATTCTATTTTAGGACTGGCTCATGACATGTCTCAGTTATTTGCAGCAAAAACTACTAGGAATAAAATGTTTAGAATGCTGTTCTCTGCCACCTTGTACATCTTATGGAGTGAAAGAAATGGTAGAATTCATGATACTACTCCTAGGGAGCCCAGATTGCTTGCTAAATGCGTTGTGTGGGAGGTTATGGATGTCTTGGGGGTATGCCTCCAAGATGCCATTAGCTAGCTTTGTTTTATCTTGGTGTATCAGGGGTATGCCCTTGCTCACCTTCTTGCCTAACTTCCATTAGGCTTTGTGTTCAATGAGGGTATGCCGTCATTTTTTCTATTGTACTATATTGTTATATTTATAATTTTTTTTCTTCATTTAGGAAAAAAAGAAACTCAAATCTATGACTTAGTCCCTAGGAGCTATTGCATATCATTCATGTCATTGATATTGGTCCCTACACACTTAGAGATAGGACTTGAACTGAATTGCACATATTCCTAAAGTGCTAGATTGACGATAAAAAGGAATTGAGCATTAGATGAACTTAGAAAGGTTAAAATCTCAAGATATGCCAATTTAGTCGACTCATATGATCCAGAGAGTTACTATGTTAAACGTAATCTTGTCACACGACTCGTGATGTTTCATCAGTTGATATATTCTAAATAGAGAGTGGCCATTACCGATTTCCTTGAAGTCAGTCGACTAATTCTGTCCAGAAAGTTGAAAACTCCAAGGACATGTAGAATTAGTCGACTCATTTATATGGATCAGCACCAGTCGACTGAATTCATCGAAATTCAAAATCTAACGGCTAGTTCAACTGTCCTTTTCACACATTAAATTCTTCCAACAACTATATTTTTGAATGGGACTGTATAAATGGCCTTGTATTAGCATTTTTTCAAACGGGATTGTATTAGCATTTATGAGTAAGAGACACCATTTGAAACATCTATTGATTATCATTCATCAACACTCATAAGCACTATTAATCCTAGATTGAGCTTTCAACTTGATTATTCAATCTTAATCCTAGGATTGTGAGCTTACACTTGTGCATATCTATCTATTTTGAGATGATTGTTTTTCAAAAACTCAGATCTCATTTATTGTGAGTGATTAAATGTTGTTGACCCTTGGAAAGACCAAGTGAAATGAATTTCACTTGGCAAGGGGGCTCAGGAGCTTGTAAAGGTTAGCTCTCCACCTGCAAGAGGGAGCAAGGTTTCTCTCTTCACCCTTAAGGAAAGTCCCATAGTTGATTTGGGAGACTCCTCAAGAGCACATCTTGAGGTGAGGACGTAGGCAGGATTGTCAAACCTCGTTATATCGCGGAGTTTGATATTCTCTATCCCTTGAACTCTCTTATTATTGTTTGTCTGGGAATGGTGAAGATAAGGAGGGTGGACACATTTTCTGCTAGTGATGACAATGTTATTACTTAACATCATGATGCTGAAAAACATTGCTATCACTGGCAGAGCATTCTTTCACCTTCCTCATCTTTATCATTCTTAGCATCATCATCACTCTCAGCCCCACCCTGATCCTTTTTTTATGTCCTTGCTAAAAGGTATTATGTTCTATTAATTAGAATCTGATTTTTATTTCTTATCTTCAAATCATATACCCATGACATATGCTAATTTTGTTGTTCAAGCTGTGAAGCATCAACTGGTTGAGGTTGATTTTTGTTTAGATTTTGGTGAGGGCCTTGGTTGGGGATGACGGAGGAAAACATATTGTACAAATTAAGCCAATTGAATCCACTTAAAAATTTACTCTTTGCAAATAGCTTCTGCAATGATATGCTGGCCTAAACTTTTTACTGCTGCACTTCGCAGTGAACTCTAAAGATTAAAAAAGAAAAAAGAAAAAATAAATTTTTGCAAAGGATTTTGCAAATTTAACTGGGCGATCAAATGGGGTACTAAGGCCTTTTGCATATTATTTATCCATGTTATCCTTGTAACTTTTATCCCACTGCAGATAGTTTAAATAGAAATTTTTGAAAAGAAATACGAAATATCAACTAAATTATTATTATTTTGCCAGACCTACCGTAGTAAGATTGTTTTCACGACATTATTAACCATTCTTCTTTTACGTTTTTTAATCTAGGAAACATTGGATATGTAATAATGTACCGCATTGTATTTAGGGGGGTTAAGGAAGTGTGTACGTATGGGCTTCTTTAGATACTTTTTACATTCATAATATACATCTGTTAGATTTTCTTTATTGTTGTTTTTCTTCCTGAAGTTGCATTGTTAGAATTCTTGCCCATTCACAGGAGAATGTTATTACATATTATTATCTTGCACAAACATATACCGTATGTGTTGTAAAGCATAAAACATATGTGAAAAGAAATTAAATGAGAAAAACACACAGATATTATATTTTAGTCACTATGGCCTACATCCACAGAACAAAGAGTCCAAAGGGCTACATCACTTTTATAATACTCAATCAATTCATGCACAATACAATGGTGGAGACTCCTTTATATAGGAGAAGAAATTATGAGAATTGAAGGAGAGAAAAAATAGGAAACAAGGATGATTTTTCTCCACTGATTCCTCTAGTAACACTAAATCTTCAATAATAACATCAATTACTGAAAGATTTTCTTCCACTAATTCCTCCATTAAATCTTCAATACTCCCCCTCAAGTTGGAGCATGAATGCCCAACTTGCCATTGAGATGATGAGTAGCAACAAGTGTGAATGATGAAGAGAGAAGACGGAGAACAATGCTACCGAAAACACCGGTAGCCGAAAAAAGTCGATAAAAACTGCCGGAGACACGGAAAATGCGAGGACAATGCTACCGAAAACACCGGTAGCCGAAAAAAGTCGATAAAAATTACTGGAGACACGGCAAAGACAAAGACAATTATACCGAACACACAGACAGCCCAAACAAGTCAACAAAAAACTGCCGGAGACATGGCAAAGGCGAGGACAATGCTACCGAACACACCTGCAGCCCAAACAAGTCGATAAAAACTGTCGGAGACACGGCAAAGGCGAAGAATATTACTGTCAAACAAGTAGCCCAAACAAGTCACAAATGGTACCGGGAAACCCTTAACAACATTTCAGATGTAAATAATGAAATAGAAGTGGAGAGAAATGAAACAAGAAGAACACATATATTTAAATATATTTACACAAACACTTCTAATCTTGTCTAATCTCCCAAAATTCGAGGACTTAAATTTTTTTTGTTGCAGTTTCTCTAGTCCAAGCTTTTAAATTCTAGGCTTTTTTTATGGTTTAACATCCTTTATGTGACAAACTTAGTGGAGGTATTATTGATATTTCTGAAAACATATTATAATAAAATATCGTCAATCATATTTTTCCTTATTCTGTTTATGATACACAGTATTTGTTCTTTCTCAAGTCTATTTTTGTTATCTCAATGTCAAAGGCCTAGGGTGTAGTTCAGCAAGGTAGCTGACCATGCGAAACAGATTCAAATGAGATCCATAGGTGTGCAGCTGATGAAGAACCTCGTTAACTTACAAGTTAAATTTTTATGTGCATGATTACTTGTTGAAAAGTTCTTCGGTTTTTTATACAACATTTATCATCCTAGATAATTTTTGTTTATTATTTTAATTTTGCACTTCATTTTGTCTTGAAGCTTCTCCTTGTGTTTTCATTCTTTAAAATCATGTGTTCAGCACTTTTCACTAAGCTTCTGAAGTTGTCAGGTGGCTCGATCCAGTGCTATGCCTTCCAACTCGAGGGATACGTTGTACCAGAGCTTGCCACCTACCATAAAATCATCATTACGTTCCAAACTACAATCCTTTTGTGTCAAGGAAGAGGTACATCTTTACATGATGTTACTCCTCATTATATTCACCAATAACTTGTGTTCATTTTTATGCTCTATGCTCCATTCCACTAAAATGGATGAAAGGAAAAGGAAAACAAGATTCTGAACAAAGTGAATTGTTCAATCTCTTCAGTAATTGAATCATTATGTTTTGTAGCGCCATAAAATTCTTTAAATGAAAGTTGTAATATCTCTGCCTCCAGCTCACTGTTACAGAAATTAAAGCTGAGATGGAAAAAACTTTACAGTGGCTTGTTCCTACTGCCGTGAATACAGCCAAGTAAGACTTCCAACCTTCCTGTGAACACCTAACCTTTTCCCTTTTCATTGACAATTTCCATTTCCATAGTTCTCTTGCACCTCCTCCTAATATTCCTAATTGTTTTTTCTTTGTTTCAAATTGTTTAAATTAGGTTCCATCATGGTTTTGGTTGGGTTGGAGAGTGGGCAAATACAGGGTAAAAAAATTCATCGTATTTTGTTTGAATGTGTATTTTTTTGCTTCTCTCTCTTTATGGGATTGGTGAATTGTGTTAGAGATTGAATAAAAATATCGGTTTACATACAGGTCTGCGGTAAATCGAAAGCCTACTGGACCAACTGATGTGATTCAAATCGAGACACTCCATCATGCAGACAGGAAGAAGACCGAAGCTTACATTCTTGAACTTGTGTTGTGGCTTAACCATTTGGTGAGCCAATCCAAGGTTAATGGTGGTGGTACAAGATCACCCATTAGATCTCCAAATCACTCACCCCTCCAAAGGACGAATCAGCAGCCCGTAAATGAGGCTGCCTGTACCTCATCATCCATTCTAAGCACTGAAGAACAGGAGATGCTGCGGCATGTAAGCAACAATAAACGGACACGAGGAATAAGTAAGAGTCGGGACTTTGAATTCGTTGAAAACAGATTAAGAAAGCACGAGAGACCGACCAAGAGTTGCAGCAACTCCCCGTCAAAAGGAAGCGAGGAACTATTCCCTTTAAACGGGCTTTCTTCAGGCATTTCTGTCATTGATGTGTGTCGTCACAAAGAGAAACCATTGAATGTCAATGAATAAGTGGATGCACCCGGAGAAGTAGTTATTAAAGTTATTGTACATAATCATCATTGCGGTATGTTTGTCGTCACACAGAGAAACGGGCTTTCTTTTTTACATGTTTGTGTTTGCACTATTGTAGCACAATAAGGGTCCCCTTTACTGTTTCACTGGATTGATTCTTGTAGTGTGCTTCATGCACTGGTCTTCTATAAGATTATACTTGAAGAATACTATCTACCAGTATTGCAAAAGATTGTATTTGGAGGTGGTGGAAAGATAAATGTTACTTGGTGGATAAATCTGTAAGAGTTCTGATCGTTTCTTGGTTGTGAATTAAGATAATAGGGAAGACAGCTGAGAGATTTTGTATGTGTATAGGCTACGTGGCATTTATAATAATAATTTTTTATTTTATTTTATTTTATTTAAGATCATGTTCCTTCTATTTCTTCACATCTCCCTTCTTTTGGCTTCTGTTTCCATAATTATTTCATTTGTGGATACATTTATTTTGAAGTTTGATTTTAAAGGATTATAATGATGATGACAATATATTGTTAGGCCGAACTGTCTTTTCCTTTAGAGAAATTTCGCTTGACAAAAGCCTTGCGCTATAATTTTTTTCTTTTTGTGGGCGTAAAAATATTTTTTGAAAAATACTTTCTATCATTTTCGGGTGTTTCATTGTCCTAAATACTATATATATATATATATATATATATATATATATATATAATAAGTAAAATGTTTTACCAACTTTCTTCCTTGAAAAAGGATTTCCCCAAATATTTTGGGTAAGTCAATTTCCAATTCTAATTCCGATCGCACAAAATTATAGGAAATTGCTTTGGATGTAGCTGGAGATCTAGTATTTAAAATCATAATCACAACATACAAAAGAAGAACAAGAAGAAAATTATTCAACTATGCACATAGAAGAATTTTAAGTATAAAAATGAAAGAAAAAAGAAAGAAAATTGAGAGAACTTTAAGAGGAAAAAGTTAAGAGTTTCAATTGAGAAAGAAAAATTTAACTTCTTTTTTTTTTCTTTTGTGGGCGTAAAAATATTTTTTGAAAAATACTTTTATCATTTTCGGGTGTTTGATTGTACTAAATACTATATATATATATATATATATATATACACATTTTATAAGTAAAATGTATTACCAACTTTCTTCCTTGAAAAAGGATTTCCCCAAATATTTTAGGTAAGTCAATTTCCAATTCTAATCCCGATCTCGCACAAAATTATAGGAAATTGCGTTGGATGTAGCTGGAGAACTAGTATTTAAAATGAGAATCACTACAGTCATCATTTCAATAACTGATTTGTACTAGACTCTATGAGCCACGACGGAGCCAGGATTTCAAGTTAGGGGGCACCGTCGCAATATATATATATATAACATAACAAATATAAAATACAAAAGAAGAAGAAGAAGAAAATTATTCAAATATGCACATAGAAGAATTTTAAGAAGTAGAAAAAGGAGAGAAATATGAAAGAAAAATGAAAGAAAATTGAGAGAACTTTAAGAGGAAAAAGTTAAGAGTTTCAATTGAGGAAGGAAAATTTAACTTCTGTTTTTTTAAGGGAATTTAAGGAATTTAAAAAGTAAAAGAGAAAATAAAAAGATAATTTTAGAAACCGCAAAATTTAGGGGACAGTATAATTTTTTCATATATATGAAAAAATTTAAAAAACTTAACACCTATACTATAGAGTGCCGGGCCACGCCAGGGAGCACGTGCCCCCTGCCCTTCATTGGCTCGGTCCCTGATAATACAATTATTATTCATTCATCATCCTAATTCTGACTAAGATTTTAATTTATTTGTTTTGAAGTTCTTTTTAGTATTTATTTAAAAATAATAATAATAATAAATAAATAAACGGAACAACTAAAACTAAAAGGTCCAGTACTGTCACTAAGACCTCCCACTATTTTTATATTGCAAGATGATAAGTTGGAAGAATTTTTTACTTCCTACATTTTTAGGGCTTTGATCTTTTAGGAAGCCTCATCATTTCAGTTCAGGAATACTATGATTTCATTTTTAATGTTTGCTCTCTTCCTTTTCTTTTTCTCCCTTTTTGTTTTATAACTGATAAGGAGATTTAAAATAGGGATGTCAACTCGAGGTTGTGGCTTGACCAGCCAAATAGAAGCATGTAGTTCGACCGATTTGAAATGGAGCGAATTCAAATGAAGATTGACACGATAATAAGACTTCAAATTTAAAATGGCAGATTAATCACTGAAAAAATCTGTACTGGATCTTAACAACTCTAGCGGACAATGACCACCGACCAAAAAACCACATGAAAGAGGTATGACACAATTAATGCATTAAATTCCTGCTGTTACTTTAGAGCTTCGGTGACTAACTTGATCGTCGGAAAGCTCTTAGTAGACACCATACTGGTGCTGGTCAAGTTTCTTCTCTTTGTAGAGAAACGGTCAAGATTCATTTATTCTCTATGAAGAGAAATGGTGTTATTCCGAATTATGCAGAATCTTGCTTCAACAATTGGTACGGTACATGAAAACAATGAGTTTATGAAGAAATTATGATCCATGCGCGATATAATATTTTTTCTCCATTTTTGAAATCACGAAACTTTTCTCCACTCTCTATTGCATATATCCAATATGTACATACATGAGAACAGCAGGAGGATGGACATATGGTAATTGATGTGCCACTATAGATTTTGGCTCAAACACGGGAAAGGCCACACATAGTGGGGCAAATCATCATCCTGGTGTTGGGAAACGTGCAAGTTTTAAAAACTTTTCGAGTAATTTTAATTCATAGATCTTGATTCATCACATAGAGATAAGTTTTATGCAAAAATAAAATATGATGTATCATTCAATTAACAGATTGAATACTTACATCGAAAGTCTGAGTAAACCTTTAAATCTTTCCTCTAAAGTGAATGTTCTCACTTATTGAAGATCCCTTAGCAAGATGCCTTTTCCTTGGATCTTCATCTTCTTGGAAATTGTTTTGCCTTTAGGAATCACTCATAAGCCTCCATGAATGACCTTGGAAAACTAAGCTTGTGGGAGCCTCTATTAGATGAAAACATAAACCCTAATTTTCTAGAGAGAAAAAATATATTCATTTTTCCTTCTCATAAAAATCACCCCTAAAATATACATAGACCATGTATATTTATAAGCAACATAAAAATAAAGAAAAAGAAACAACAAATCCTTCTCAATCTCTAATTCAAATGTCTCAAATCTAATAGGATTCTAATATCAAGTTGGGTTATGAGTGAGAATCCTTTGGGCTTATTATTTTATTAGCTATAATGAATTAATAATTGGTCTGGTACATGGACCCAATTCAATTAATTCATAAATTAATTTCTACTCTACTAAAAGAAATTAATTGAATTCCAATTAAATAATAAATAACCTCTAAGTTAATATTGCACTTTGACCCCTCTATGCATAATTAGTTATCAGATAAATAAAGCCATCAATTCGACTACTTAATTAATATATTTATTTTGGTACCATTGATTATTTCTAGCGCGATCACAATAAAACATTTGTTTGACAAAAATAATAATTTAAATAAATAAATATATAATAAATCATTTTGTCTAAAAACACACGAAGGCCTTCGAATTTACTTTGTGATCAACCATAATCAATACAAAATAAATACAAGTAGCAATGATGCAAATATTGAAAATATAACCCTCTAACTATTAATTATATAACTACCCAAAATGTCGGTCTAAGGATCCCGAAGAATCCGCCGAACAAATCAAAGTAATTATTAATTAATAAAAGAGTTTATACTTTTCTCATGCTTAAGAGTCAAATGCCATGACGGTGATAGGGAGCAATTGCATACGACGGCTCTCGCAATATATCTTAACCTAACCCGGATCCAGTTCAAGTCTTAATTAATTATGAGTCCATCCATAATTACCGACTATGAACCATTTATGATTACTATTTATATTCATGTATTGATCCCCATCACATACACATATAAATATCTCTTGTAATCAAGTGGACACTATCAATTCTATAATGAATCGAAACATAATACATTGAATTTACCAATTGTATAAAGCATAAATATTTCAGAAACGTCAGAAACATATGTCACTATAATCCAGATAGGAATTTGCTATGCCAAGGCATATAAATCCCAACAGCTCCCATTTGCCCTCATAGCCAATTCAAATTGCATCTAATTCCAATGTTAACCAGATGACGATCAAAATTATTGATCAATAACACATTTGTTAATAAATCAACAAAGTTATTGTAATACCCCGTATTTTATTAAAGAGTTTAGTTTATTTAAAGTCATTTATGTGAGGATTTCTTTACTTATTATTGTACATGCTACATTATTATATTAAGTTCATTTAATGGTGCATGTAAATTAATTGTGTATATTAAAATAGTAAATTTATTCATTTAATTGTGCATGTATTATTATTAATAATTTTATTTGTTGGTTATATTTATATTAATCATTATTAGTTAATTAAAGTATTATATTTGTGTTATAAAGTATTATAATGATATAATGTATTCTTATGTAATAATAATAATAATAATTATAATAGTTTAATAATAATAATAATAATAATAATATAATAATAATAATTATAAAAGTTTTATTAATAATAATATTAGTAATAATAATAATAATAGTTATAATAATAATAATAGTATTAAATCACAATGCCATGATGAAATTAGAGATTAGAATAGGATTTCATTAATGTGTATGGGTAGACTTGAAGCCATATGGTTGGGAAGGTGGTTAGTAAATATAAAAATTAGATATTTGTAATATTTATATTATATAATTTGTATATAAATTAGCTAGCCTACCTTAGAAGGAAAGAAAGGGAGTTAGAAACAAATTATAAATTCTAGTGAGCCATTGTAAAAGTGTGGAAAGGAAGAGAGAGAAAGAAAGGAGCTTGGACCGGTGTAGGAGAAATCTACCCGACTACGCGCAACCGGCGGATTTATTTTAAATCCAAAAAGGCAAGTTCTTATCTATTTTTCCCCTTTGAATCCATAAATTAATTGTTTAAATTATTTAAATTATTATGGAGCCTTGAGAGCATGTTAGGAGTTAATAAATTATTATTTTTAGTTTATTTAATTAATAAAATTTTAATTATTTAGGATGGTAGATATTTAATTATTATCCTATACAATTAAATCTAGCTAAAAATACTTATTTAAGGCTTCAGGGATTTTTCTAGAATTTTTCGGTAATTTTATGCATTTTCCGGCGAGGCTCCGGCGAGATTTCCGGTCGCCGGCAGCGGGGAAGAAGACCGGAGCAATCCGGTGTGTTGCGGCACAAGGTACCCTGTGTGCGCATGGATCCATGACCGGTTGATGGGAAATTGATTAAAAGATGG